AACTACGCCGCCTACCTGTCAATGACTATTTCAGCTTCAACCACGATTATACATAGGCAAACAATAGACACAAACTCAAAGTAAACCACCTCCAACTCAACGGTAGACATTCTAGTGCGCTTATGCACGCCCCCGTACAGACCTCTTAGGAATGGAGTGAGGTCCACGGTAGACAATTTAAGGTTAAAGTTTTTGGGGTTTGAGGATGTAACAACAGAGTCAGGTAGTGAGTTCCAGGCATTGGCCACTCTGTTGCTGAAGTCGTATTTTCTGCAATCGAGTTTGGAGTCGTTTACATTGAGTTTGTATCTCTTGTTTGCCTGTGTGTTATTGCGGTTGAAGCTGAAGTAGTCATTGACAGGTAGGATGTTGTGGCAGACAATTCTGTGTACTAAGCTTAGATTTGACCATAGGCGGCATAGCAGACAACGGTCGGTTGAAATACCAGTTCGGTGAACCAGATGAAAACTTAACTTCTGGTTTGCCCGAACTGGTCCGAACTGGTAGAATCCCACCCTTGGTCCTTCATCACTGGAGGTTTTTAAGAAGAGACTGAACAGTCACTTGTCTAAAATGGTATAGGTCAGGATCTCCTGCTTGAGCAGGGGGCTGGACTAGAAGACCTCCAAGGTCCCTTCCAGCTTTATTCTGATTCTGATTCCTTAGTTAATACTGTAGGCTGTGATTCAAGCTCAAAGCTCCGGATGGCTTTCGCCCAACTCCACAAGATCAGAAGACTTCACTCCCATGTCTCCCCCTTCCCTCTCTCTCTCTCTCTCTCTCTCTCTCTCTCTGTGTGTGTGTGTGTGTGTGTGTGTGTGTGTGTGTCTGTTTGTGTGTAGGAGCGACCGAATGACAGACATGTCTGTCATACGCCATTACCATTAGAACAGAATCTTGTTCTTTTATTACAGCTGAACTCTGCCAGATTTCACAGCAGGAATGCTAAGTGAAATCAATGTCTCGGATTTCCAGCCTTGGCTTTGAGGTCAGACACTCTATCATTTCTCTGTATTATCTCCTTACTTCACCCTCCCCTCCTCTTTCTCTCAACCTCCAACTGGCACACAGCAGATTGAAAACAGCATGAAACAGAGGGACCATGCTGCACAATTTTACAGCTGTTTGGAGGACTACCCCCCCCATTCACACACACACACACATGCACACACACTCACAGACATGCACACCCCTCTTCTCTGTCTTCCCTTTGCAGCTTAATTCTGCAACGGTCCCTTCCTTGGCAGGACTGAAACTCAAAAGGAGGAATAGATTTTCCTCCCCCAGGAAGGAAGGAAGTGAGAAAGAGGAAAGACTGGAAACGTATTTCGAATAATTGTGAATTTGGGGGGGGGGGGGGGGAGATCTTCCTTTCTTTTCACAGGTAGGCATTTGAGTTATCATGGACATTATTATCAAGTCAATACTGTAATCAGCAAATCCTCCAAATAAGGGCTGAAAGAAATATGACATAGATTATCTTCCTTTTTTTCCCCCCTCCCCTTATGCGGGCATCCAGGCCAATATTTGGATGGGTAGAATTGAATTTCTTAGCAAAGTTTGGTGGAACTTATTGGAACTCTCAGTATCTGCTAGCTCAGTATCTGCTGGTTGGAAAATTGGCCTGAGAAGAACAGACCCCCCCCCCCCTCACCCAGTCATTGTTCCACCTGGGCTGCCTCTCCTTATTTTCTATACCAAATTCTAGATGTATGTAGTATGTATGTATGTATGTATGTATGTATGTATGTATGTATGTATGTATGTATGTTCTCTCCCACTCTTGTGTCCACAGGACATGGTAAAAAAGGCAAGATGGGGATTAAAGCTGCACAGACATGATATGTATAAAAGTGGGCAGATATTTATCTGTACCACTATGGCCGCTATATTGATTTTTTTTTAAAAAAAACCCACAATTGGTGGAGACTGCTAATTCCATCCATTCACCATCCATCCATCCATCCACTCACCCACCCATCCATCCATCCACCCACCCACCCACCCACCCACCCATTCATCCATCCATCCCCCCATTCTTCCTTCATCCAACTATCCATCCACCTGTCCATCATCCATCCATCCATCCATCATCATCCATCCATTCTTCATCCATCCATCCGTCATCCATCCATTTCTCATCCATCCAATCAGCCACCCACCCAATCATCCATCCATTCTTCATCCACCCATCCATCCACCCATCTATCCATCCATCCACTCATT